AAGAATAAACAGTTTTTGTAATTGAAAGGGTACTCTAGTAAAATCAGGAATAATGGCAATCTCGTAATGAAGTAAAGAGAACAAATTATATGTTATCTAGCAAATAGGTTGTAGTGTTGATTACTAAAAAATTAAGAAACAAAGTAGGTAAATCGATTCGAATTCAAATGCGAGAAGTTCACCCGGGTATGTTTCCCCCTAGTCCTTACTTAAGTCGATGTTCTGTACTCCCTAATTGTTTCACTTGATACTTACACGACCTGTCTTCTATATGAAACACGTTCATGTTTTGTGGTTGCTTTGGTCGTGTTTCTTCTCGTAACCAATTACTCAACATGTTTGATGTATGAAACACGCCCGTGTTATATTTCTGTTTGACCGTGTTTCTTCGCGGTAGTAGTTACACGGTTCACGTTTGGCTTGGACAACTGGCTAGGTTTTCTGGATAGAACACGGGCAAGTAGCACGTTCGTGTTCCCAATGCAGTCAAAATCTCGATTTGATAGTAAAAAAAGTACAATACTTTTGGGTGAAATGTCACTTTTATCCTTTGTTTTTAATATAAAAAAGCAACAAAAAAGGTAGGGACGTATTTGAAAGAAAAAAAAAACACAACATTTTTTTATAGGTAAAAACACAACATTCTTATTCAAACAATCTCACCAAAACTTGAGATTTAACTATCATTCATTTTGAGTGATAGTTTGCGTCAAATCAAGCAAACAATGCATGTATTGTTTGTGCAAAAAAAAAATTTTAAAAACAACGAGGCATTGTGGACAAGGCATGGATTGTAACTATCTCAACCACACAATCGCCAAACCAAACGACCCCTTAGTCACATGATCTTATCCCTTTCTAGGTATACAATTTTACTTTTTACTTTATATTGTCTTTTTTTTTTGGGCCAAAAGCTCACTTGCATTACCAAGAAAAGAGATATATAGTTTACAATTCAGACCTCAACCGAGAGGCGAAATCAAACCCCAACACACTTGTAGGAAACAAAGAAAGGGCATTTCTAGCCACCAAATGGGCCACCCGGTTGTTCCGCCTACCAATGAACTGGATTATGAAATCACTGTACTTCTGTCTCCAAACCGCAATCTCCTACAGAATGATCCCTCCTCGAACATCTAGCACAGTCCTAGAGCTAATCTTATCAATAACAGAACAGTAGCAACATCTCCCACAAATAGAACTGCCTCAAAATCCTTCAACGAGCACCACTGAATAACGTCCCGAAATGCCACCAACTCCACCAGAAAAGGATCCACGAGCCCTGCATATACCAATCCCTGCACTAGAATAATCGATCATGAACCATCCTGTACCACTACCCCCTGCCCCATGCGACCTAGTAGCAATCACCCCATCCACATAGCATTTGACAACCCCTGCAGGCAAGAAAGATGGCTCGGCAACAGGATGAATTGCCCTTGGAGCTACCATATCTTGATTTACAATCCCCACTCCTGCAGCCGGGACGATATTGCCGAAGCAACGCGATTGAAGTATATTGAAAATGCTCAAATGCTTCCCAATTTTGCAACTTGCATATCTTCCAAAGGAGAGCCACCACCTGCATTACAGAAGTAGGAGAATCATCTCATTCTACTAAGCTACAAAAAAACAAGGCAAAGTTACTCTCTGGCAACCTCGCTTTGGCCGCCATCAAACTCTCTCCCTGCCAAAGTCAAACTGCCACTCTGCAGTGAAGGAACAAGTGCTCCATAGTCTCATCCGGCTCCCAACAAACTGGGCGCCTGTGCTGCACCTGACATCCTTTCTCTTCTAAAGCTTCCAGAGTAGGAAGGATTCTCCGTAGTGCTTGCCAGACAAAAAAAAAAAAAAACAGTTTCAGCGGTATCTGAAAGCTCCAAACTTTTTTCCAAAAATGAGCATCAAACCAGGACACTTCATCCTTCCATCCCCCAGCAAGCCTAGACAAACGGACAATCAGGTGATAGCCGGACTTCATAGAATATTCACCTCTCGTGTCCTCCTGCCACACCAAACGATCCGGTAACGGTTCTTTAGGTAATGGAACTTTAAGAATTGACCTGGTTACCTCTGGCGGGAAACAAAACTGTAAGCAGTGCTCACACCAAGACCCTCCCTCTTCTGCAAGCAAGGTATCAACAATTTGCTCTGGTTGGAGCAAGACTCCATGTCGCACCGCCAATTCCCCCCATTGATTCGGAATCCATCTATCCTCAACAGTTCGGATAGACTCATCCGAACCCACTTGCCAACATAGCCCTTGACGCAGTAATTCCCGGCCGCGCAGGATTTCCCTCCAATCCCATGAAGGCCTAGAACGGGCCCACGCCTCTAAGAATGAACAATCTGGGAAGTACTTCCCCTTTTAGACCCTAGCTAACAGGAAATCTGGTTTAGACATAATCTGCCAGCCAATCTCAGCTAGTAATACTTGATTAACCAGCTCCAACCGTCGAAAACCTAATCCACCATCAAACTTTATATATTTATTCAATGTAATATTTTTATTATCTCTAAAAAATTTAACGAAATGAGTTAAACTTTTATTTGTTTAACATGTTTGATCTATTTTCGTTCTAATTATATATAGTATGTTGCTATGCTTGATGCATTCAATTGCCTAATCACCAATATATCGATCGATTCCTTTTCCTTAAGGGAAAACCTTTAGCACAGGTCCACCTCATAATAACACGCCAAAGTAGAAGTAGCAAATGGAATGTATCCATGTATTGGTGAATTGGATTGGTAGATGAATGGATAAAATAAATTGGTGGATTTATGGATCGGATCATATGGATTAGTGGATTAATCCAGGGATCCAAATGACATCTAAGTCTTGGACCATAATATAAATTTTGAAAAGTTTAGGTACTAAAATATTATATTAATAAATTATAGATACCAAAACATAATTTGAATGATAATTTTGTATAAAAAATAAATTTTAGGTATCAAATGTTAAATATAAAAAGTATGGCACTAAATCATAATTTGCCATTTAGATCCATGGATCAATCCATGAATCTACCAATCCAATTGGATCTGGATCAAATGGATTGAATTTATATGTATTGGGTTAGTTGGATATTTAAGTGGATGAATTGGATTGGTAATTGCCACCTAATGCCAAATGTGAGTCAGGTTAAATAGGAGATTATGCAATCGTAAATAAGGTTGGTGCGTAACCTATATTGCTAAATTTAAATAACCAAATCTGGACCCTTCCTTTTAAGTGGGCAGCAGATCTAAAGGTTGGGAATTAAATGCATTTTCTCCATAGTTTTCTTAATCGGCTCTTATCTTCTTTGTTGTAATTTGGATTTTTTTTTTTGCACAGATTGAACGAGTTCTTTGTGATATCCATTTTGAATATTTTTTGAGAAAAAATATTCATACCTCTCTTTACCAACTCCATACCATATGGTACCACCTTCGTTTTTAAGTTGTTTTTGAAATTTTTTGCATAGAAAGAAAGAGTTCACCATGATCTATTGGATCTACAAATTTCGGGGAGGAAAAATAAAGACAAAAAAATACACCCCATACCACCCTGGTAGTATAAGATGGTAATTGGTGGTAAACAATGTTAAATATATCAAATAACAGTTAGTATATTCCTAATACCATGTATTCAACCATCCTACCATCTGGTATGTTCATACCACCACGGTACACTTGATATGCTCTTGTATAATACCAATCAATACCAGGTGATATAGACAGGTAATAAATGTCACAATTATTTGTTTTTTACAAAAATATATAAAAGTGAATATCATTGTGATTAGTCCTAGCAGAGAGTATCATAATTTAAAGGCTCTTCTTGTTCTTAGAATTATGAGAATAAATTGATTAGCAGACATTACATATGATGTTTAACGAATTCCATAAAATTTCTTGGAGAGTTTTTGTATTTCCTATTAAAATTGTGCGAGTTGTCTTTCTTGTTAAATTATTCTTTTTCTTAATTAATCATCCTTAAATATAATCAGTGACTTTGAACAATTTAAAATTTGGATTTGTTCACGAATCTTATCTCGCTTGAGCAAATTTAATTTGGAAATCAATAGTATATCTAGTCCTCTTTATCACTATATCACTTGATATGAGTTGTGGATCAATACCACGGAAAGAGTAGAAAGAATACCAAAACAAGTAGCGCATACCACATAAACTAAATTATCGTTGTAGTTAAATATGAATCTACTCAACCTTAGCATTCTCTCTTAAATGGACTTTTTGGCATGGGTTGTTCAACAAAGCTTAAACTTGAAAAATAACACTAAAAACTCATTTCTAAATATAAATATTAAGAAAAGTAAGAATAAACAGTTTTTGTAATTGAAAGGGTAATCTAGTAAAATCAATAATAATGGCAATCTCGTAATGAAGTAAAGAGAACAAGACTTATTTTATAATACAATCTATATATATGGAAGACTCGTTCCCTTCTCCATTGTCCATTCCCTTTTGCTTCTTTCTCCCTCATTTCTCTTTCTCTGAACCTCATCTTTCCAATTCTCTCTTTTTTTTTCTTTCTTTCCAATTTTCTGTTCTTCCCTTGAGCTCTAATTCTGTGTTAATGGCTTCTCTTCCACCATACAAACATTTGTCAATAAGTCTAAAGTTTTTTAGATTCCGATAATCAGATCTCTCCTTCTAAATCCTTTCTTTTCTGTCCTTTTTCTCCTTTTCCACTTTTTTTTGTTTTTCTCCTTCTTCATTGATAGTTAAATCTTATCTTGTACTCTGATTAATTAATTTTTTAACCCTCACTCTACTATTTTACTGTCAACATCTTTCTGGTTTACCGCTGTTTCTTTTTACCAAATTGAAAAGGGGCAAAGTTTGGAAATTCAATTTGTTTTTTCTTTCCCTTTTTCCCCATTTACATTTCTTCCACACAAAAAAAAATTCTCCGTTGGGGTAAATTCAGTTGTAATCGTGTGGCTGATGTGTCACACATGGAAGCAACAAAGAAAAATACCAAAACGATGCGCCTCCCTCCTCGACGCATCTTGGCTTCAAATAAGCGGAAGGATAAAGAAGACACAACCCGTGATTCTTCCAAATCCTCGGCACCACCACCATTGCCACCATCATTGTCGTTGGTAGCAACAATGGAGCCGGTGATCAAACCGGCTACTGCTGTTATCGGTTACGATAAATTTACCGAGCCGGTTGGGTCTAATAATCAACTCCTAGCTGGCTACTTGGCACACGAGTTCCTCTCAAAGGGAACCCTTTTTGGTGAACCCATGAGGGCAGATAATTGTCCCTCGCCCATCTATGTCAAGGCAAAGAAGATTAAACCTAGCATGGAAAGGGAAACCAAAGCAATGGTGAAATCAGAGCAGAATATTGAGGATATTGGAAAGAGGAGTGAGAGATATTTAGAGGTTTCAAAATTGTTGAAAATGGAAGGAGCCCACTTGCCTGGTATCATTAACCCTACCCAGCTTGCTCAGTTCTTACAAATGTGAAAGTCATAAACGAGAGTGGTAGATCATGTAAAAAAAAACGACATCCTCTCGTTTTGGCCTACATAGATGACTAATCATGTAAAAATTCCACTTCATACCTTTTCTTCTCTTTCTATGTTTTTTTTGTAGATTTTATTTTATTTTTAGCTGTGTATAAGGAAAAAAAAAACTTCTCATGAAATCTTAGATAATGAATTGTCAGATTTCCCATCGAATTCTTATATTTGATCATGAATTCCTTAAAAGAAATTGGAAACAAACAAACATATAACTTATTTCATTCGTGGTTTTCTTGGTCGACATGAAATTTCTCACGAACTATATTTTTCTAGTAAACTCGTTTTAGTTCCGACACAAAGAGTCAATCCTTGGACATATCTTATTAGGTCCCTATACCACACACAAGAAGATGACCTCAATTAAGATTTCAAGAGAAAAGAGTAAGAGGATCCAAAAATGACACAAAAGAAAAGCTAAAAAGGTTATGTATGAATTGTACAAGTGCACGGAGAGGATGCACCAAAACCACCATAGCCTATATAGGCTATAAGCACTACCAAAGCAATTGGTCCATGACTTCTGACTCAACGATACATTTGACGCAGAGTGATGAGGATCGAATAATTCGTAGCTTCGATATATTTCACATTATGATGTTTTACTATGTTTTGTTGATTATTTTGACTTCTGGTAGCAATAGGTACTTTTTGGAAATTATTGGGAGTATAATTGAGTCAAATAATTTATTTAGTATGGTCATCATCACTTAAGTCTGTGCAGATTTTTGTCAATGGTTAGCACGTATCCACAACTACCCCATCCTAAACCAAGTTTAACATAAGATGGCATTGTCATATAGTGACAATCAATGTCGTATTTTACTCGGGTCCTGGTACCCTAGCCTACTTCTCACCTCGTTGTTATTTAGTTGATCAATTTTGGAGGTTTGAGTGGAGGATTTGAGGGAACTACTAGTTTAGACATTGAATAAAGCTCAAAGCAGGTACTTCGGGGAACTATTACTCATCCTAGCCTAGGGCTACTATGAATGTCTAGATACTTAGGGTTGTCGAATCTGGTGAGTGAGCTCGTTTTTGTGCGCTTTCGTGGTTATCCACACACCTCCGAGTACGCCTCCCCTAGACCCATATAAAGGCACCTCGATTTAGGCTATCGTACCTAGGGCACTAAGCTCGTAGCTAGGGATGGCAACAAAACCCGAACCCATAGGTACCCACCCGACCCAACCCGGTCAACGCGGGTAAAACCCGTGTTGATGGGTTTTGGGCCGGGTTTGGGTTTAAACCCGCTACACTATTCACCGGGTTGGGTTGGGTTTGGGTTTAGGTAAACCCGACCCATGGGTACCCGCCCACACACATATAATTACTTTCCCGATATATTTAATATTCTAAATAATATATCTTCCTTAAACAATTAATATTCTTTATGTTTTTGGAGACATGTATAATTGTTCTTTCTAATTGTTTAGAATGAAGTTGATATTATGAAGTGGAGAGTGAAGAAACTTAGTTGACGAGGAAGAAGCTTTCAATTAATCTTTTGTTTATAGATGTTTATCTTTAATTTTGAACAATTTGTATTGATCATTTGCGGTTTGCTTGTATGCTCTAGATTGGTGTTTTTTTGTATGATTAATTTGTATGAGAAAACTGATGTTAAACTTTTATTTTGAAAGAAACTTGTTATTGTAAATTTTTTACCACAAAAACCCACGGGTACCCATGAACCCGCGGATACCCAGCGGGTTGGGTTGGGTTTGAGTTTTTCAAACCCAACGGGTTTTACCCCTGGTTTTTTTGGCGGATAAACCCATGGGTTTGAGTTTGAGTTTGGGTTTGACAAAACCCTCCCCAACCCGATCCATTGCCATCCCTACTCGTAGCTCCTTTCAATGGATACTATCCACCGTCCAGACCGAGGTTTTATCCCGGGTTCTATCTAGGAATGCTACCATAGCAGGGGTTCGGTCGCCTAGACCACCATAGGCCTCTATTAATACATCTACCTCAATTTGCTTGATGACGCGTACCCGTCTAACCCTAGAACTCCATACCCAGCGTAGAAGCATAAAGTAGGCTAATGGAGAAGATTATGGAGACTTACCCAAACACAATCAAGGATATAATAGCTAGAGAATCGACTAGATAAACACATTCATTCATTTATACCCTAAAATATCCATACATACATAGTAAACCCTAAAACTAGGGTGTGGGGGTTAGAACTCATAGTAACTTAGAGAAATATTCCATAAAAGAGGGAAGAAGATCATAGAAAAAAATTAAAGAAGACTTGAGGTTGAGGAAGATGTCTCTTATCTTCTAGCTAATTCTCCTTCCTTCAGCTTCTCTCTCTTTTCTCTCTCTAAAACTAGAAATTCTTCTCAAAATCAGCTCTCCTAAAAGGGGGAAATGGGTCTTCTATTATAGGCAATCTGAGGACGGTGTAGTTCACGACCAGTAAGGCAGAGATCGCGTGCGGGATCTTGGCTGCGATCTTGAAATCCAGTCGTACTAGCTTTCGGAATCTGAATTCCTATTTAACGCCCCAACTTTAAAAAATTTCGCCTTTTATTAACCAAACAGACGGTATTACCCTCAATTCCTAAAACGGTCGCCCCAACCATCGCCCTAATCCCTAATTTGCTCTGCTCGTCGCCGACGGAAGGAAAATCCAAGACATGAAACTCATTGGCGCTGACCAATCTCGCGCAGCTGCTTTGCTGCTCGGTTGACGGAAAAATTCGTCGGCTAGCTATTCCTTCTTCTTGACCCAACCCGAACAATTATTTCAACTTCATCAGGCGGGTTGTTCCTTCCTCCTCCTCCATGTTGCTCGGTTGATGGGGGCCTTTGTCAATCTCGCGGACTCGGAGATCCACAAAGCTGCATACGTAGAAGCAGTCGCCAATCTCATCTTCTGGGTTTTCCTCTCCGAGACCAAATTCTCCTGCAGCTTCAACGCCATCGTTCCCATCTTCCACCAACAACTCACTGCGGCATTTCGTCGAACAATGACCTGGCAAGTGTCTTCTCCAGGAGCGGGAATCAAAATTGCGGCAAACTAATAACAAATCAGAAAGGCCGATTGATTTTTCATATTCCCAGAATTGGTGGTGTCGACAGGGCGGACCGAACAGCTTAATAGCCGCCGCGAGGATTTCCAAGCAAACGACAATGACGGGCGAGGAATTCCAGGCAAACGGCGACGACGGGCGACGAATTCTAGGGTGAATGAAGGCGACGGGTGAGGACTTGTTTGCCGACGATGGGGATCCTAGGGCGACGACTGACATTTAGGGCGATTCTGTGTTTTTGGGAATTGTTTTTTTTTAATTTGGTTAGAGATTTAGAATATTTTGAGGGTAAAATTGTAAACTTATTTAAGTTAGGGCGATAAATTTTACAATTTAGGCGTTAATTAGTAACTCTCTTCGGAATTGAGGAAATCGCAGGCTGACTTCACGGTTGCAATCCACGAGTCGCGACCGCAATCTTCCTCGTGGTCAAAATGCTTTGTGTCCGTGATTCAACTGGGGAAACTCTACGTTTCTCCTTGGCTCCTTCTTCGCGAAGTTCACGGCCCGAGCCCGCCAATTCGCGGTAGCGATCTTGGGCTTCCAGGCCATGATCTTCATCTTGACTTTGCGGTCCATGTTCTCAGTCTTGATCATTCTCTTCAAAGCCACAATTGTAACACCCCGACCTTTGGGTTCAGGTTCAACCCAAAATACGTGAACGGTTGGGTTACCGATTACGTACGAAAGGAAGGTTGCAACCCGGATTATGAATAATAATAATAATTATAATATTATTTTTATTATCATCACCTTTCCACACGTCTCCCCATCCTAAACAAAATGGAAGACAAGACAAAAAAAAAAAATGGATAAAAAGAAACCCCTCCCAACGTTTCCTCTTCCCCCAGCAACTTTTGCGATTAGAAAAAAAGAAAACAACGGAGAGCAGCTAGCTCTGGAAGGAAGTAGCAAGCTATAGGCTCGAGTTGGAAAAAAAATATAAGAGGAAGAAGTGGGCCAGCGGCCCAGGATGAGGATGAGGGCAGCGGCAGGCCAGAACCCAACGCAGAAGGAAAGCGGGGTCGTTTTCTCTGGAGATGTCGATCGCCGGGAGAACTAAAGCAGTGCGAGCTGCAGCGGAAAACAGAGCATCGGCGATGGTGAATGACTAGCTAGTGAATTAAATTAAAGTGTTTGAGCCCAATCGACTGGGGGTCGCTCGGGTCCAAGGGGTTTGGGGTGTCAGCCATGACCTTGAGGGGGTAGGCGCCCCGCCTCGTCCGAAGTAGAAAAAGAGAAGAAGTATATAGAGAGAGAAAGTAGAGAGAAGTTAGAGTAAGAGTAGATAGATTGCCATTTATGAGGAGAGAACTCCTATTTATACACTTTTGAGGGTTAGGTAGTGGTCTGGGCGCCTGCCAAGCCATAAATGCTCTGGTCGGGCGCCTCAGACTCTCTGACACTGTTCATAGTCCTTTTAGCAGAGGGTGTCCCCCTGCCCCTTGTCCTTGCTGATGTCAGGTGCCTGGGCTTGTCTCTTGTCCCCCAGCCTTGTCTTTTTCCTCTTGTCTTCTTCCCTTCTCCATGTCATTAGCCATGGTATTAATTCCTTAGTCACTATGATACCCTATCAATTGCCCCTTTTGGCGATGCCGTGAGTATACGGTATCGTCAAACAAATATGCTCTATGTTGGTAAACTACACAAACTATGAAGAAACGGAAAAAGAAAGAGAGAAAGAAAAAATAAATAAAAAATAATAATAATAAAATAAAATACATAGGCGCCCGGCGCCTTCGGCTAATCGGGGGCGCCACCCCCTTCGCTTTTTTTCCAATCGGGAGCGCCTCCTCCCCTTCTTTTCGCTAGGCACTTTTCGGTTTTTCTGAATCGTTTTTCTTTTGCAGGCGCCTCGCTTCATCTCTTTCGTTTGGGTAGGCGCCCGGCGCCTTCAGCT